GATTAAGTGAATGGATAAAAGGGGGGCAAGCCGTAAGCGTCCATACGCCCACAGGATTCACTCAAAATGAAAATAAAAAAATAATGGAGGCAAATGGAGAAAAAGGGGAATATTGTTCAAACTTGTATCATACTAGCCTATATTATGATCGATTATGTGTTACAAAAAATATCAATTTTAAAAAAAAAACTTTTATAAAATACAATTTTCGGGAAATGAAGTAAATGCCAATTAAACTTACATGGATTATATGGTAGTGAAACACTATATATTCATAGAGAGAGAAAAGAAATGGGGTTTAACGTCCACTCGACACAAACTAGGTCATTTCGGAACTAATATATGGTTTAATTGTATTTCAATAATTCGCTTGCGCGTAGGGGTTTTAGCAGTGGGGGGGAACCGGATGACCCGGAGAAAACCCACGAGGTTGGACAGGCGACCCTACTCCTTGTCACGTACAACCGGGGATTCGAAACCACACAATATATTCAAGTATATTAATTGTTTCTAATTGAGAAAAACTAATATTAGTAATACTGAATACAAGGGAGTAATCGAAAAAGACATGCAATTAATCCTGTATGACGTTACGTAAGGCGGTTGACTAACTTATAGTTGCAAAAATTGACGTAAGATATAAAAGTGCCAAGTGGGCTGTCGTGCCGCTGTCCGGACAAAATTTCCCTCATAGCACAATGTATTACGTATGCCGGTCCCCATTAACCAAGAGGACAGAACAGTAGGACGTTAAACTCCATTTCATTTCACAATGGATGACAAATTATGTATTTAACAGTATGACTTTATTTCCTCTGTTGTATGTACGACTTCGAACATATGTAACTATGGTTAAATTTGTAGTTTTCGTTAGGCGGCAATTTCGTAAAATAAAGAATTTAATTCCACCATAGAAAGTGAGACGCCTGCTATTGTGTTGACAACTTTTTTTTTTTAAGAAAAGGAAAAATGTTGAAATTATTATCGCACATTTACTTTAATAACATGTCATTTTCTTGTTCGTCAGAAAAGAGTGGGCGAAAAGCTACTAGTGAAGTTGCTGCTTATTATCACATATTTATTTTAGTAACTTGTTTGGGAATTTTCCTTTGTTTTACCTTTTCCGTATGTCAGACAAGAGGAGATGCATCCTACGCTATTGGCTGAATGGCTGAATTATATGTCGTTTAGGGTTGGAATGTAATAAAGAAAACAACTGTAACCTGTGTTGGTATCTCATTTATAAGCATTCAGGGAATATGTATAATATTTGCTGACTTTTATCAGGGAATATGTATAATCCCTGAAAATTTCAGGGAATATACATACTCACTGAGTGAATCAGGGAATATACATAATCACTGAAATTTTCAGGGATTATACATATTCCCTGATTATACATATTAACTGTAACATATATAACACTTTACTGAACGTTTCAACAGATGTCGTAGAGATGCTTCCGCGTTGAACAACAAAACAGAAGAAGAAAGAAGAAGAACATCGCGAACAATACGCGCCACACACAAAGACATCTTTAAGTATAAAAAAATAACATTACTTTAAGGTGAATCGAGGGCCGTCCTCATTAGCCGAGTCGATGCAGAAGAATGGGACCTTAAAGCGATAATTTCATATTTTCTAAGAAAGTCAAAACATAATTATTTCTATGTCGTTTGCTCAATAGGTTGTCAACTCACTATTATACGATCATAGGTATTATTCTCCCACTTAAAAATCCTTTGACCACGGAAATAATAACACAATTACCTCCCTTGTTTTTCTATTCACCCCCCCCCCCCCCTCATGGAATAGCTATCTCCAAACGTTTGAATTGGAAGTAGAACATGATATTTTTGCCAATTGCTCAACTAGCAATAGTGAATTAAAGGATTAATAGGATTATCCTTAACAAGGTAGGACTGTTTATAGATACCATCTATTTTAAGGCTTTGTTTTAATAAATTTTAAAAATATAACTTTAAAATATAAAATTGCAACTTTAAAAGCCCTTTTCATGTTCGTGAATCCATAACTGGGTGCCTCTATACCTATAAGGTTACTGGCGTGGTGAAAAATTTCCGATTGGATTGAATTTTAAAAGCAAATATGGACAGAGGTGACTTTCGAAATGGTAATGGTTTTATTGTATTTTACCACATTTTTAAAAATTACTCTAGCAACCCTACAATTACAGAATCATTGGAACTCCACACACCAGTTAACAAGAGCAGTCTGTTTATAAACGAAATGCTGTTGGTAGACTTGCAAATTGTTATGATCCGTAATTTGAATCCTAAAACATCTTTATCTCAGCAATTGATGGCCAGATGTATCTTAATTTTGGAGCAGCATAGTCATATACAATGCCCTTTAAAGGAAAATGAAATGAAAAGAAATGGGGTTTAACGTCCTACTGTTCTGCTCCTAACCTGGGCTAATGAAGACGGGCATACGCCATACAGTGTGCTATGAGGGAAATTTTGCCCGGGCAGCGGCACTATCGCCTACTCTTATATCGAATTCCAACTGCCAGGGGATCTTTTACGTGCATTCCAATATATACACGGGACCTCGGTTTTTCGTCTCATCCGATGGACTAGACAGCTGTCCTTGTCACGCCCTCCGTCCTGCATCACTGACAAGGGGAACCACGCCGGGAAATCTGGATGAACTTTCTCGGCCAATGCAGGGATCGAACACCCGACCTCCAGGCTAGCGAGCCAGCGCCTTACCCACTTAGCCACGTGATCCCCCCCTTTAAAGGAGCTAAACCTTTAACTCAATATTTTCCAAAGAATAGAACTATAAGCCTTAGAGCTATAAGCCCTATAAACCTATATTAACATTTTCATCATTTGAAACCTTTCATTTTCGAATATTATGGAAATATTGAGTTAGAGACTTAGCTCCTTTAATATCTAAAACAGTGAAGCAAACAATTGTGGTCTGGAACCAAATGGCAAACTAATAAATTATTACCTCCCGTAAATGGCTATTTAAAGCAAGTTATATTCTACTGTATCGAAACAACTATCTAACTATGCAATTAGGACGAAACGACCGCAAGCCAAACCCACTCCCCGGTTCGATGTTCCAAAAAAACTAGGTCAATACCGCGAAGTAAATAAACCACGATTTTTCAAGAGAGAAAGATTTATGTAGCTTGATCTGAAATTACATCGCACGCGGTAGAAATTAAAGGGATGACATTTCCAGGTAGGTCGCTAAGTTTTAACCACTTTAATTAAAAACTGAAGAAACAGCAAGCACTTTTCAGGTCGTAGTGTCATCTTGCACGGACTAAATTAACGCACATGCTGCTCTACTTTTTTATAACCTTATAATCAACAATTATTGGCTAAAACGTACATGTTACTGTAATATGAATGTATGAAAGTGTTTTAGGTAGAATTTCTAAATCAAATTATTGTAATTTCTAATCAATTATTTTCGGTGAAATACCCGGACAGTCAAAATTAAACTCCAGACGTTTACGTATGCTTAGTCCATTCTACACGTTTGTTTAATTATTATTTTGTCGTTTATGAATCAATCGGTACTAATTACTGCTCCACTGTCTTTTTATGATATGATTTAATTTGTTCATCACAATCTGGCAAAATACAGATCTATATTTCGTTCCGTTTTTTTATACTTTCTATGGCCTACACTACATGAAGATCTGACCGGTTGTACTGGAAGGAAGCGTCAGGGTTCGTACGAGCGGCTTTTCACCCTATGACGTAAGGCATTGATCAATCACAAAGCCGTATATATAGGGCTTTGATCAATCAGCGTTGACGTTACTAGAGGTTTACCCACAGTTCCGTGCATCAAACGCCAAGAACTCGCCGTAACAGACCGTTTCATTGACTAATCCCTCACTTCAACCAGAACGCCGGTAATATAATATCCCTTCCAGATCCTATTGTAGTGAAGACAAGTGAAACGAATTTTTTAACTATAAAAACGAAACGAAATAGGATCTGTGTTTTAATCATTGTGTTCATCACAAATGGCACCTGAAACCATAGAATACTCGACTCGAGTAGTGATTATAAATTGTTCACTATGTCTGAAATATTGGATATAAGGATCCTATATTTTCACAGCAAGATAATAACATCAATATTGGTCGAAACGGACCAATATTGAATTCTAATTCATGTTTTTAATTTCAAATATTATTGAAAATATATAGTTAGAGGTTTCGTTCCTTTAATATTGGCCCAGTTCTGTATACAAAGATATGATGAACTCAAAATATTCACCATCCTTCCCAGACTATATCGTCAAAACAAGCCAGCACCATATGTAATCTTCGCTATAATCTTTGATTTCCTATTATACCGGGGGGATCAGGTGGCTAAGTGGGTAAGGCGCTGGCTCGTTAGCCTGGAGGTCGGGTGTTCGATTCCTGCATTGGCCGAGAAAGTTCATCCAGATTTTCCGGCGTGGTTCCCCCTTGTCAGCGATGCAGGACGGAGGGCCTGACAAGGACAGCTGTCTAGTCCTTCGGTTGAGACGAAAAACCGAGGTCCCGTGTATACATTGGAATCCACTAAAAGGTTCCCTGGCAGTTGGAATTCGATATAAGAGTAGGCGATGGTGCCGCTGCCCGGGCAAAAGTTCCCTCATAGCACACTGCATGGCGTATGCCCGTCTTCATTAGCCCAGCATAGGAGCAGAACAGTAGGACGTTAAACCCCATTTCATTTCATTCATTTCCTATTATACCGTTAATATTTTGATTTTATTTTTTAAATTAATGTTCAACAATTCATTTAAATACATTTTAGCGCGAACAATGCCATGATAAAATAGATATTGTACAATAAATGCAAATTACGATCGACGGCTTTACTGTGTAACACCTTTAGGAAATTTACGGTAAATGCCTAACACGTTCTAATGACTGTCATATGTCAAACAATGAATATTTTAAGCATTGCCATTTTGTCATCATAAATACCATAAGTTCTTTTTATTTCAGTATATGACGACCTTAGCTAAGATCTAATTGTATCAGGATTATAATTTGGAACGCGTCGGTTTGTTTTTAGTAACAAGTGCTAACTCCTAGGTAAGAATATACACTTTGTTTTTGTCTAATTTCTGTGATTTCTTTCTGTTCTTGTTCAGTTAAAAATGATTTTGATCCTTTGAGTTAAAATATAGTGTTGATATGATGTATTATTGTGATAGGAGATGGTCATGTTCTATATGATTAAAACTTTTGTTCGGAAAGATTTAGCGGAACTCGGATTGCTTATGAATTTTAGATCAAATTCTAACTTAAGCGCAACATCAAAATTTAACACTTGCTTGATTGGGAATGGGCCATGTCCTATACTATTGGAATTTTTGTTTGGAAAGATTTAGCGGAACTTTTTGATCAATTTTAGTTTAAAGTTTAACGTAAACATACATTATAGGAGATTAGATAAAGAGCTGGTAGTTCTCACTATATAATAGTTAAAAACTAGATAATGTAAAGGAAATTTGCTTAAAATGTCAGTCAAATTGATCCACTCTGAACCGAGTATTTAGCGATTGAATTTTGGGCCTAGCCTCGACCATCATTACTAAAGTCGGTACGATTAAAAAAAAAGGTCTCGATTATCCATTTTTTTTATTGAATCAGAAGCAGCAAACCGGGTTCTAATCCAGTAAATATTGCAAGCTAGCGATGCCACCGAGTCTTAATTATGGTCTGGCAGATTAAGATCTTGCATAATGTATGTTTAAGCGTAACACCCAAATTTGCCCCTTTTAGCTAAGAAATATTTTCCAAAAGAAACAGATTTAAAGTAGCTTAATCTCTAAATCACTCAGTATTTTCCATAATATTCGAAATTAGAAACACGAATTGAAATTCGATAGTAATCCATTTCAATTTATATTAATGTTGTTATCTTGCCGTGAAAATATGGGATCCTACTATCAAATATTAAAGACACAATGGACATTTTATAATAAGTACACGAGTCGTGTATACTATGGTTTCGGGCGACATTTGTTGTGAAGAAAGACAAAAAGATAATTAAACTAGTGTAGAATGGTCTAATTAATCGTAAACGGCTGTCGTTCAGTTTAGACTGGGGGGTTGGATGGCCGAATGGTTAGCACGTGCGCGCTGCGCTGTATCATACGGTCTGTCATTGAGTCAAGTGGCGGGGTTTCGATTCCCTGGCTGTACGTGACAAGGAGTAGGGTCGCCTGTCCAACCTCGTGGGTTTTCTCCGGGTCCTCCGGTTTCCTCCCACTGCTAAAGACCCCTACGCACAAGCGAATTATTGAAATAAAATTGAACCATATGTTAGTCCCGAAATGACCTAGTTTGTGTCGAGTGGACGTTAAACCCAATTTCTCTCTCACTCTCTCCCTCGTCACCCAAGCTGGGGTCCTCAAATATGTTTTGGGGTCGTGACCGACAACTCTGAAACTATTGAAAAAATGTTATGTTTTCATGAAAAATGTCATTCTCTGATATATACACCTATTGCCGCATTACCAATTGTCATTCCTCAATTTTTCAAAAATGGTTTATGGAATGGGGTCGCAACCAAAAAGTTGGGAACCACTGCGTTAACCCAACTATGAAAATAATAAGGGCAACTGTGTTTAACGCCCACTTAATAAAGTTACGTATACATAAAGATTGATGAACGCAATGATTTTCACTAGTTTCTTTTTCTTCAAAAATATTAGTGTATGAAGGTAGAATGGGTTTGGGTAATGTGTCTCTTGTAGAATTTTTTCACAATACGGACAATCCAGCTACCGAACAATACAATACATGAAGGTAGAATGGGTTTGGGTAAAGTTTCTCATGTAGAATTTTCTCACTAGCCCCGGCTAATCCAGCTACCGAATAATACATTATGCGTACTTAAAACGGAGTTATCATTTTTTATAAAACAAACCACCCTCCACCCCCACTCCCATCCCCCAGCACCAATCTTCGAGAAATATTGCTAGATCGAATGCCTATTGCTCAAGATTACGGTAGCTGATTACCAAACATTTTTTTTTCTCCCGGATAAACTGACGCCAGAAGATATATAGTTGGCCCAAGGCAAGTCTTTAACTACAATTTAATTATGACATAAATATAAGGTATTAAGTTACAATACCCTTAGGATTAATTTATTTCAAGAACACCTACCGTACACATATTTACTCTAAATGTCAAGCTGGATCCAGTGCGGTTTTTTTAGTGCTTACTACATTAAAGTAGATTACTTTTAAATAACATTTTATACGCCAATAGTTCATTGCGGGCGTATTATGTCGCGAACCTGTCCGTCCGTCCGTCAATAATTGGCATGTGAATTCGTTAGTGACTTCTGCTTTTGACGGATTCTTTTCAGATTTGGTGTGAAATGAATGAAATAAAATAGGGTCCTGAAAAATAGTGGTTATAAGAGGACGAAACCTGTCGATATAGCCAGGTGGCTGAAGGGTGGGTGTGTGTGTATGTGTATGGGGGGGGGGGGGGGGGTCGCCACCCGAACTGTGAATTTTTGAGATGAAGTTTTTCTAGACCAGTTGTTTGCTTAGATTCCGAATTTGAGTGGTGATCAGGCTTTTGAGGGGGCGTTTTCGAAATGGGGGGGGGGGGGCACATATACAATTGGGGGAAATGTGATTATGTTGACATGAATGATGATCACGTTATTGTATAATAATAAAACATAAATTTCTAGGACTGTCCATCTCGAAATAAGTGTTTAAAATCCTTCTGGACAACTGTTTTGATTTGTGGCGAGGTGGGGTGGGTGGTTGCAGGGGTGCATGTGTGGAAGGGGGGAATGGGGGTAAAATTGGCGGGAAATGAGTTCACGTTGATTTAAATGATGATTTTCTCAGAGCTTGATGAAATATCTCTATAGGTGTATAAGATTCCGATTGTGTGGGGGTGGGCGCCGGGGTGGGTGCCTGTGCGTGGGGGCGGGGAAACATATATTTTTGTGGACAGAAATCATTTGGTTCAAAATTGACCTTAAAAGTGATTTCTCGTTAGCTTTTTCATTCAGTGCCTATTTCTTCATTCAATATATTAAATTATAATGGTACTTTTCAAGAGATCTGGAAATAAAAATCAAAAGCACAGTACATCAGAGACATGTTTAGATATTAGTTTATTCTTAGTCTTCATCAGAAGATTCAAAATCAGCGAGATAAATTTCTTCTTGGTTGCTTACCATCAACTTGCATATCCTTTGGATATGCTTCAGATACCAATTCACATTGTAAATCTTCATTCCAGCCATGCAGCGAAAGACCACTACGACAAGGTGGTAATAAAGAAAGGCCTGTTATTTTTTTACCCAGAAAAAGCTTTTTTCTAGCGTCATCTACTGATGTAAGTCGCCTTCAGCGACATTTTCTTCCTGTGCCCGTTTCATTATCGATCAAAATATGTATTTTTGGATCATCGTTTGCGAGGAGAATGATTGGGATGTCTTTTTCGCCCGAGCAAGAAAGCAAAATACAATTTGTTTTAGCGCCTCCATTAATTTGCAACACGAAGAGGAGTAGGTAAGCTATTTTGGTGGGTTGTTGTCAGTTCTAGGATATTCTCGACACTTTCAATACTAATCTTAATATATTTTTGGCCCAATCAAGATTAGTGTCGAGAATATCTCAGTCTGCATGCTTTCAGTGGTAATGAATATCTGTCTTGTTTTTTCAAGATAATTCCAGCTTTTTAACAATTTTTAAAGAGCTGGGACAGACAAATGATATTTCTGATAACGTAATTGCTGGCTTAGAAAAAATTGTTTGTACCATGTACGGCGAAAGGCGACTTACATCAGTAGATGACACTAGAAGAAAGATTTTCTGGGGGAATTTTAATTGTTTCCTTCTTTATTACCATTACCAGTAGTCTTTTGATGTACATTAAACGCAACAATTATGTTGCAACAATATGGAGACATACTGCAAAACCAATGACTGAACAAGATGACCCTGCGATACAAGGCTGGAATGAATGGGTATCTGAATCATTTCCAAAGGAGATATTTATCCCGCTCATATCATGAACTTTGATTTTGAATCTTCTGATGAAGACTATAAGAATAAACTAACTTCTAAATTTGTCTCTTGTTTACTGTGGGTTTTTTATTTACATTTCCAGATCTCTTGAAAAGTACCAATTATAATTTAATATTTTGAATGAAGAAATAGGCACTGAACGAAAAAGCTTACGAGAAACTACTTTTAAGGTCATGTAGTGTATGTCATCGAAAGAATAAAAAAAAACGAAACGAAATATAGATCTGTTTTAATCAGATTGCATTATAATTTAATATTTTGAGTGACGAAATTAGTACTGAAGGAAAGAAAGCTAACGAGAAGCCACTATTCAGGTCAATTTTGAACCAAGTGGTTTCTGTCCCCAAAAATACATCCGCCATCATGCTTGAGCTCTCTAAATCAAAGCGCAGTAAGGTCCTTGAATCTGAGAACACGATTTGTTGAAGCAGTGGAATCTGTCAAGGATGGACAAGGGTTGCGATAAACTACAAAACTTTGGCGATTGTATTGTGTAATGACGCAGTACAGTCGTCATTGAAGATCAAAGCGAACTGCGTGAACATATTGTAGACGTAGCCACAACATATAAAGGCGTCTTGGGGTCGCATTCAGAAATTGTCCCCTGCAACTGGCGTGCAATTGATAGCGCTCTGGATACGGATACGCTTTTTGGGCTTGTTTCAGCTGAGATTATCATGCTTGCTATACGTCCAAAGCCATGCGTTCGTGTTACAACCCCACGTCCACTGGCCCCACGCACCCGTTGGTGTATAAATACAGCATCAACGTTTATATACAATCAGTGTACATCTGCCGCTAACAGGCAGAATGTTATAGGCTGGTGTCCAGGTCGCAGGAGGCCCCATTTTTATGCACGTCGCACTGTGTAATGAGCGAGTATACTACAGGGATCCACAGCGGCGGAAACTTGGATGCACCGAGAGCACAGTGGGATCACACTGATGATCAAACTGGTGAAGCATTGAATCGCAGGTCAACCTACTGTAAGCTACCTCTTTTTATGGATTTCACAATGCG